TCATTATTACTGAAACAGGATACAAGTGGAAAATATAAAGATCCAGTCCATTAAAAAAATTGGAGGCCCCTTACACTTCTGTGTTGTGATTCAAATATTCTAGCAAAATGTATAGTGCATAGAATTAAAAAGGTATTGTCGGATATTATTCATTCTAATCAGATAGGTTTTTTACATGGAAGATACATAGGAGATAATATAAGGCAAGTATTGGAAACAATAGAACATTATGGAAAATCTGAGAAACCAGGCCTGCTATTCATAGCAGACTTCGAAAAGGCATTTGATAAAGTACGACTGGGGTTAATATATAAATGCCTGGAGCATTTCAATTTTGTTGGTTCTCTTATAAAATGGGTGAAAATCATGTATAGTAACCCTAGGTGTAAAATAGTAAATAATGCCTATTTCTCTGAAAGTTTTAAACTGTCAAGAGGAGTGAAACAAGGTTGTCCACTATTGGCATATCTATTTATTGTGGCCATCGAGATGTTAGCTATTAAAATCAGATCCAACAATAATATCAGGGGATTAGAAATCCAGGGCTTAAAAACAAAGGTGTCATTGTACTCTGATGATTCATGTTTTCTTTTAAATCCACAACTAGAATCACTCCACAGCCTCAGAGGATCTAGATACATTTTCTAACCTCTCTGGATTACAACCAAATTATGACAAATGTACTATATTACGTATTGGATCAATAAAAAATACAATTGTTACATTGCCATGTAGTTTACCAATAAAATGGTCTGATGGTGATGTGGATATACTCGGAATACATATCCCAAAGGAAATAAATGATCTCACATCAATAAATTATAATAGTAAGTTAGCAAAAATAGATAAGATCTTGCTACCATGGAAAGGTGGGTGCCTGTCAATTTGTGGATGAATCACCCTGATTAACTCTTTAGTATTATCCCAGTTTACCTATTTGCTTATGGTCTTGCCTACGCCTAGCGAACTGTTTTTTACATTATATGAGAAAAAAATATTCAATTTTATTTGGAATGGCAAGCCAGACAAAATTAAACGGGCCTATTTATATAATGAATATGAATTCGGAGGACAGAAATTATTAAATATTAAAGCATTAGACCTATCACTAAAAGATTCAGTCATACAAAAGTTATACTTAAAGCCGAACTGGTTCTCTAGCAAATTAGTAAGATTGTCTCACCCAATGTTCAAGAATGGCCTTTTTCCCTTTATTCAGATTACAACCACTCACTTTCAGTTATTTGAAAAGGAAATCATCTCCCAGATATCACTATTTCTAAAACAAGCCATAGAAAGTTGGTTGCAATTTCAATTTAATTCTCCAGAAACGACAGAACAAATAATGCAACAAATATTGTGGTTAAACTCAAATATACTAATTGACAAAAAACATTTTTTGGTATAAGGTATAATCTTTGTAAATGATATCATTGGTAGGTGTTACGAGAATTTCTATCTCTAATTCAACCTAAGCTTGAATCATTACCAGAGGTTGTAAGGCTCTGGTTTTAATCATAAATGATTCAAGGTCCACAACCAGCAAGAATGATCTGTATTTTTATTCATGGAGAGCTCTGGCGCCAAAACCCATACACTCCTGTTTTATACCCCTTGACACACAAAGGCACTTTGCTCCGCCCACCTTTAGGAGGCTTTTTGTAACCCGTTTTCTCAGTCCCCTTCACCCTGGAATGTTTAGTCCCGCCCCCCTCTGTTAGTGGGTTGCCACTACATTATAACTAACACCGTTCACACATTTATACTGTATTTAGGGTGAAATCCTTTAGTCATTATTCTTAAAATACAAATTAATCTAACAGTAGGACTGGTGGAGTTATGTCGCACATGCAGCTAACAAAAACATATGGAAATGTCTGCTCTACCCAAAATTACAACCAAATAATTGCAGCCTTACCACAAAAATGGAAGAGGAAAGTGGAAGGAGGAGAAAGTAAGGAACTTGTCTGTCGGCCTTGCATTAAAGAACATACTTGGTTAAGGAAAACTGTGATAAATAAAAAAGTATTAGTTTCATTTAAGGACCAAAGGATTGACAGCCGTCCCATATAGATTGCAAAATAGTTGAAGAGATTTTTGACGTACCGATCCCATGGCATAGTGTTTATGAACTGATACGCAAAACGACACCGGATTCAAAACTTAGAATCTTTCAATTTAAATTATTATATAAAATTCTTGCTACCAATAGAATGTTATTTATATGGGGGATACAATCTTCCCAGCTCTGCAGATTTTGCTGTGAAGAGACAGAATAATTAGATCATTTGGTTTGGTACTGTCCATTTGTAGCTTGTTTTTGGACACAGGTCCAGGAATGGCTAAAGGATTGCAATATTTACCTTGAGCTAACCTTGCAGATAGCACTACTGGGTGATCTGAAAAGTCATAGTCAATCGATCAATAACATAATACTATTAGCAATTTTTTTTATTTTCAATTCGCAATCTGTAGAAACAATGAGAATAGAAAGGTTCAGAACTTTTGTAAGACGTCACAGTACAGTTGAAATGTATATGGCAAATAGAAATCCTATATGGATGGTGTTAAAAGATAGATGGGAGGTGTTGAATGGAATTGAAGGATGGGACTAATAACAACTAACAACAAACAAGAACTAATAATGTAGGAACGCTGTGTCCATAATAAGTGTATGGGTTGTAGGTTGGGAGCTTTTGTGAAGGAGCACAGTTAGAAAGATATGGCATATAGAAGCAAACCGGATGGACATCATGAAAATGATCGGAGAGGTTGAGAGTAGAAGAAGTTCAGGAGAAAGAACTAACAAAATGTAATTATTGTAAAATTGACTGTGTCCATAAAATGCAGATAGTGGGTATTGGCTGGAAGTAGAGACCTAGGCGTTGTTGTTCACTAGTTTACTCCCAGTGGGGAAAGGGTGGTGGGGTTGGAAAGTAATAAAGGGGAATATATATATATATATATATATATATATATATATATATATATTTTTTTTTTTTTTAAAGGGTATGTGTGTGTGTGTGTATATACACAGTGGGGAGAACAAGTATTTGATACACTGCCGATTTTGCAGGTTTTCCTACTTACAAAGCATGTAGAGGTCTGTAATTTTTATCATAGGTACACTTCAACTGTGAGAGATGGAATCTAAAACAAAAATCCAGAAAATCACATTGTATAATTTAAGTAAGTAATTTACATTTTATTGCATGACATAAATATTTGATCACCTACCAACCAGTAAGAATTCCGGCTCTCACAGACCTGTTCGTTTTTCTTTAAGAAGCCCTCCTGTTCTCCACTCATTACCTGTATTAACTGCCCCTGTTTGAACTCGTTACCTGTATAAAAGACACCTGTCCACACACTCAATCAAACAGACTCCAACCTCTCCACAATGGCCAAGACCAGAGAGCTGTGTAAGGACATCAGGGATAAAATTGTAGACCTGCACAAGGCTGGGCTGGGCTACAGGACAATAGGCAAGCAGCTTGGTGAGAAGGCAACAACTGTTGGCGCACTTATTAGAAAATGGAAGAAGTTCAAGATGACGGTCAATCAAGAACTAATAATGTAGGAGTTGAAGTGTACCTATGATAAAAATTACAGACCTCTACATGCTTTGTAAGTAGGAAAACCTGCAAAATCGGCAGTGTATCAAATACTTGTTCTCCCCACTGTGTGTGTATATATAAAAAAAAAAACATGGGGGATTGGAAGTGATACAGACTAATAATAATAATAAAAAATAAATAGGAACACTGAACTAGACTAACCAATATATCATAGATCTGCCCCCTTACTGAGTCTGTTGTACTGTCCCCTGCGGGATATAATAATTAAATACTGTAATGTTGCCAATATTTACTGGCATGCAAATGAAAGCTTGACTTGTAAAATGTCACATACAAGAACTCAGTGGGGGAGGATCATGTGACTACAATATGAATAGAATAAATAAATAAAAATTCTGTGGACACTACCGCAGAGTAGCCCTTTATATTGAGGGAGTTTAATTAAGCAGGAACTGGGTGTACCGGGCTATGCCCCGCGACGTGAACGGGCGAAGGCTGTGATGGAGGAGCGCCCTGCTCAAATAGAATAGTAATCTGCGCTGCCAGGTCATATTGTTAACAAGACGGCATGGTTCATCATTCAGGAACTTATATGTATTTTCCATAAAGTATATGTTAGAATTTTATTAGGGAAGGCAGATAAAGTACATCGTTTTTTTTACTAAGAGCAAACAACACTTTGCATGTGAACACTGAATCCTAAATCATTACTCCAGGTTCTTCACATACATATTTACATTTTAGTCATTTAGCAGACGCTCTTATCCAGAGCGACTTACAGTTAGTGAATGCGTACATTTTTTATAATGAACCCCCGTGGGAATCGAACCCACAACCCTGTCGTTGCAAGCGCCATGCTCTACCAACTGAGCTACAGGAGGGCCTACGTCACTTTGTTTTGAGCTGACTTCGCCTTGGGCTTTAAACGGGGCACCCGACTCACGCCCGGGAGGCAGCCCGGTTTTCAAAACAATCACTTTTCACCCCTTGCAATCTCCGCCCACTCTGGCCAGCTTAATTGAATCACCTCATTGTAATATCACTGTAGCCCTCAGCTACAGGAATGGGCGTATAGGTGGTTGAGCGAGCACATGAGGGCTAAATCTCAATTCTCCACCCTTCTCTTATGGTGTGCAAGTGCACACTTCGGGAGAAGAGGCGAATCGGGACAGCTCTGCAACATGACAGCAACTCTGCAACAAGTCCAACTCATTTGAGTACTGCCTATGAGAAAGGGTGCTCCACACACGGTATGTTCAGTGTGTGACAGTGTCTTTGAGTTGCACAATCACTGTCAGGTAATGACTTGCAAACATAAAGTACACAGTATATACCTCTATGCTTGCAATCTCTGCCTCATATCTATCCAAGTAGTGGTAGTACCTAATTTGGGACACTTACTTGTACATGTGCTCAGGGAAGATGCCCTCCACTACTCTCCTGCAGCCAAATCTGGAACTCCTAAACAGACAGACGGACACAGACATGCTGACACAGACAGACACGTATACACACAGTGAAAAGCAAATCAAAATGTTCTATCTTACGTAACATTACAGTATGTAGTCTGACATGCTTTCAGATAATTTCCTTGTTTTTGAATAGCCACATACATTAGTGTTCCCCTCTAGAGTAACTTTAGTGCATCATAGCTTGCTAGCTATCTGGTAGAAAATAAATAACCTTGCTAGCTAGTAATCCAGCTAATTGTTTCAATGCACCTACCAAATGTGAAATTACAAGACAAAAAAGCCACTTACTGTACCTAAAGGTGTTCCACGATGGTGTCTTGTTGTGAAGCTAGCTAGCTATGCTAGCCAGTGTCAGTGGGCTAGCTAGTTAATGTTAGCCAGTAACGGAAGCCAGTAGTGCCTCTTCATAGCCAGCTAGTTATCTAACCTACCGGTAGCTAGCTACACCACATGACCAAAAGTATGTGGACATCTGCTCGTCGAACATCTCATTCCAAAATCATGGCCATTAATATGGAGTTGGTCCCCCCTTTGCTGCTATAACAGCCTCCACTCTTCTGGGAAGGTTTCCGCTAGATGCTGGAACATTGTTGCGGGCGCTTGCTTCCATTCAGCCACGAGCATTGGTGAGGTCGGGCACTGATGTTGGGCGATTAGGCCTGGCTCGCAGTCGGCGTTCCAATTCTTCCCAAAGGTGTTTGATGGGGTTGAGGGCAGGGCTCTGTGCAGGACAGTCAAGTTCTTCCACACCGATCTCGACAAACCATTTCTGTATGGACCTCGCTGTATGGCATTGTCATGCTGAAACAGTAAAGGGCCTTCCCCAAACTGTTGCCATAAAGTTGGAAGCACAGAATCGTCTAGAATGTCATTGTATGCTGTAGTGTTAAGATTTTCATTCACTGGAACTAAGAGGCCTAGCCCAAACCATTATTCCTCCTCCACCAAACTTTACAGTTGGCACTATGCATTTGAGTAGGTAGCGTTCTCCTGGCATCCGCCAAACCCAGATTCGTCTGTCGGACTGCCATATGGTGAAGTGTGATTCATCGCTCCAGAGAACGCGTTTCCACTGCTCCACAGAGTCCAATGGCGGTGAGCTTTACACCACTCTCGTGATCTTAGGCTTGTGTGTGGCTGCTTGGCCATGGAAACCCATTTCATGAAGCTCCCGACGAACAGTTCTTCTGAGTGTTGCAACCAAGGACAGAACATTTTCACGCGCAATGCACTTCAGCACTCGGCGGTCCCATTCTGTGAGCTTGTGTGGCCTACCACTTCGCGGCTGAGCCGTTGTTGCTCCTAGATGTTTCCACTTCACAATAACAGCACTTACAGTTGACCGGGGCAGCTGTAGCAGGGCAGAAATCTGACGAACTGACTTGTTAGAAAGGTGGCGTACTATGACGGTAAGGCCATTCTACTGCCAGTGTTTGTCTATGGAGATTGCATGGCTGTGTGCTCGGTTTTATTCACCGGTCAGCAACGGGTGTGGCTGAAATAGCCGAATCCATTAATTTGAAGGGGTGAACACATACTTTTTTTTTGTGTGTGTGTATATAGTGTACATATATTAGCCATATTAGCAGGCTACTAGTAGCTACCTGTGTCCCCTCCACTGAGCTTTATAGTCCGCTACTGCAAATTCCTCGCACACACGGGCTGTTCTTCTTTTGTAGGGTCTCTCACTGGCTGCTGTTGTCGGGACAGCCTAAAACCACGCCACATCGATACAGCTACGACCGAAAGATACTTGCTAGCAGGCACAGGCAACTTCTCTTCCTTACCGAAACCCCGCCCTCAGTGTTTGACAATCAACAGGTCGATAACGCAAATGAGGAAACCAAATAGCAAAATGAAGCGTTGCGATTGATTTATCGAATTTGATTGATAATTAGAATTTTGTCAATTGAGAATTAGTACTTTTGTCACAATTCATGCTATCACAACAAGGAAATGAAATGGCAAATGTTTTGTAAAGATTTGCCATTTAAGCATTTTGATTTTTAAATGTCAGGGTTGTACTGGATAGTACCATGGAAATAAAATATCAAACACACTTTGCTAGTTATTTTTCAAATTAGCAGACATTATGCATTCCAATCAAGAAAATGATAATGCAATATATATTTGTGCATTTCAATTTGAAATGCATACCCATTTAGGAAAAGGAAATGCAAACATGATATTGACTTATAATTTGACCATTTGCATTTCAAATTGAGTTTCGGCAGCTAAATGCTTCCATAGTATATAATAGCTAGCTAGCTATAAGAGTATGGGCTACCATTAGGCTAGCCAACTAATCTCAACTCCATGATTTACGATTGACTTGAGCGGCCACTATTGTGTGCGGACTGGAGCTTTGACGACACATAATTCAGTTTTTAACAATTTCAATTGTAAATGCGGGCTATTTTTTGGGTTCTGAAATCCTTAAATATATACACTGCTCAAAAAAATAAAGGTAACACTTAAACAACACAATTTAACTCCAAGTCAATCACACTTCTGTGAAATCAAACTGTCCACTTAGGAAGCAACACTGATTGACAATAAATGTCACATGCTGTTGTGCAAATGGAATAGACAACAGGTGGAAATTATAGGCAATTAGCAAGACACCCCCAATAAAGAAGTGGTTCTGCAGGTGGTGACCACAGACCACTTCTCAGTTCCTATGCTTCCTGGCTGATGTTTTGGTCACTTTTGAATGCTGGCGGTGCTTTCACTCTAGTGGTAGCATGAGATGGAGTCTACAACCCACACAAGTGGCTCAGGTAGTGCAGCTCATCCAGGATGGCACATCAATGCGAGATGTGGCAAGAAGGTTTGCTGTGTCTGTCAGCGTAGTGTCCAGAGCATGGAGGCGCTACCAGGAGACAGGCTAGTACATCAGGAGACGTGGAGAAGGCCGTAGGAGGGCAACAACCCAGCAGCAGGACCGCTACCTCCGCCTTTGTGCAAGGAGGAGCAGGAGGAGCACTGCCAGAGCCCTGCAAAATGACCTCCAGCAGGCCACAAATGTGCATGTGTCTGCTCAAACGGTCAGAAACAGACTCCATGAGGGTGGTATGAGGGCCCGACATCCACAGGTGGGGGTTGTGCTTACAGCCCAACACCGTGCAGGACGTTTGGCACCAAGATTGGCAAATTCGCCACTGGCGCCCTGTGCTCTTCACAGATGAAAGCAGGTTCACACTGAGCACGTGACAGACGTGACAGTCTGGAGACGCCGTGGAGAACGTTCTGCTGCCTGCAACATCCTCCAGCATGACCGGTTTGGCGGTGGGTCAGTCATGGTGTGGGGTGGCATTTCTTTGGGGGGCCGCACAGCCCTCCATGTGCTCGCCAGAGGTAGCCTGACTGCCATTAGGTACCGAGATGAGATCCTCAGACCCCTTGTGAGACCATATGCTGGTGCGGTTGGCCCTGGGTTCCTCCTAATGCAAGACAATGCTAGACCTCATGTGGCTGGAGTGTGTCAGCAGTTCCTGCAAGAGGAAGGCATTGATGCTATGGACTGGCCCGCCCGTTCCCCAGACCTGAATCCAATTGAGCACATCTGGGACATCATGTCTCACTCCATGCACCAACGCCACGTTGCACCACAGACTGTCCAGGAGTTGGCGGATGCTTTAGTCCAGGTCTGGGAGGAGATCCCTCAGGAGACCATCCGCCACCTCATCAGGAGCATGCACAGGCATTGTAGGGAGGTCATACAGGCACGTGGAGGCCACACACACTACTGAGCCTCATTTTGACTTGTTTTAAGGACATTACATCAAAGTTGGATCAGCCTGTAGTGTGGTTTTCCACTTTAATTTTGAGGGTGACTCCAAATCCAGACCTCCATGGGTTGATAAATTTGATTTCCATTGATAATTTTGGTGTGATTTTGTTGTCAGCACATTCAACTATGTAAAGAAAAAAGTATTTAATAAGATTATTTCATTCATTCAGATCTAGGATGTGTTATTTTAGTGTTCCCTTTTTAGCAGTGTATATATAACTTCATTTTATGTGACGTCGGCACTCCAGTCCGCAACACTCAAATCAATGGAGGTCAGAGAAAAAAGTGGTAAAAAATCTGGAAAATTATATTGCGTCAGCTAGGCTGAATTCTGTGCCAGAATTAAGGCTACTGGCTACCTGACAGGCTCACTTTCCCATTGAACTCGTCATCTTTCTTCTCGAATCCGCAGGACATAAAACAATATGGAGGTAAGATGGATATCAATTTTTAGACATGACATTTCCTATTTTAGTATACGCTTTTCATATTAATTTTAAATGTCCTGTTTTTTTGAAGATTTATAACAAAAACAAGCGTATCTCTGTGAAATGTCAACGGAGCACTGAGCGTATACCAAGCTTTTTATTTTCAAACCCTTTTACATTTAATTCAGCTCTTGTGATAATTCGGCAACCTGCGGAAACAACTTTGAAGACATTTCAAAGACAACATTTTTACACTGCACCTAATCAAAAGCCCTCCCCCCGTAGAGGTAACCTCCCTGCATGTGTTTGTGTTGTAGATCAACAAGGGGGACTATGAGGGTGAGGTGCAAATCTTCGGGAGCAGCAAGGTGCAGCAGAAGGCCCGAGAGATGATCGAGGAGTTGGTGGCAGGAGACAATGGCCCTTGGGGATTCCGCAGAGGTAAAGCACACTTAAACCACTGTGAAAGGGAGAGAGCACTGAGTGGGGTACTGTATACTGCAGATTGGACGGCGGTACATTCATGCTGCGAACAGCCAGTTCCATTTCATCCCAAAGATGCTCTATGGGTTTGAGGTCTGGGAACTGCTCAGGCCACTCAAGTAAACTGAACTCGCTGTCATGTTCCAGGCAATGTTTTTTCCACTCCTCAATTGTCCATTGTTGGTGATCGCGTGCCCACTGGAGCTGCTGCTTCTTGTTTTTAGCTGATAGGAGTGGAACCCGGTGTGGTCGTTTGCTGCAATAGCCCATCCGTGAGAAAGATTAACGAGTTGTGCGTTCTGAGATGCCATCCTGTACACCATTGTTATACTGCGCTGTTATTTGACTGTTTGTGGCCCGCCTGTTGACTTCCACTATTCTTTCCATTCTCCGTCAACCTCTCTCATCAACAAGCTGTTTTCACCCACAGGATTGTCGCTGATATTTTTTGTTCGTCGCACCGTTCTCGGTAAACCCTAGACACTGTCGTGTGTGAAAAGCCCAGGAGCGCGGCAGTTTCTGAGATACTGCTCCGGCGAGCCTGTTACCGACGATCATAGCACGCTCAGTCGTTTAGTTCACTCGTTTTGCCCATTCTAATGTTCAATCAAACAGTAACTGGATGCCTGTCTGCCTGCTTTATATAGCAAGCCATAGCCATGTAACTTACTGTCTGTAGGAGTGATCCATTTTCATGAACAGGGTGGTGTACCGAATAAACTGGCCAGTGATTATGTGTTCTTGAAGGACCTCTTCAACTATATAGCTTTATGCATTTACTTTGATCTTGTCATAAATGCAACTTTTCAACCTCTTATCTCCAGCACCAAACCAGTGTCTACATACATTACCGTTCAAAAGTTTGGGGTCACTTAGAAATGTCCTTGTTTTCCAAAGAAAAGCATTTTTTTGGTCCATTAAAATAACATCAAATTTATCAGAAATACAGTGTAGACATTGTTAATGCTGTAAATGGCTATTGTAGCTGAGCAAGAAACAGGCACCTCACTGGTCCTCAACTGGCAGCTTCATTAAATAGTACCGCAAAACACCAGTCTCAACGTCAACAGTGAAGAGGCGACTCCAGGATGCTGACCTTCTAGGCAGAGATGCAAAGAAAAAGCAATATCTCAGACTGCCCATCTTAATCTTTTATTTTTATTGGCCAGTCTGAGATATGGTTTTTTCTTTGCAACTATGCCTAGAAGGTCAGCATCCCAGAGTCGCCTCTTACATTTTAGTCATTTAGCAGACGCTCTTATCCAGAGCGACTTACAGGAGCAATTAGGGTTAAGTGCCTTGCTCAAGGGCACATCGACAGATTTTTCACCTAGTCGGCTCGGGGATTAGAACCAGCGACCTCTCGGTTACTGGCACAACGCTCTTAACCACTAAGCTACCTGCCGCTCCAACTCTTCACGTTGAGACTGGTGTTTTGCGGGTACTATTTAATGAAGCTGCCAGTTGAGGACCTGTGAGGCGCCTGTTTCTCAAACTAGACACTAATGTATTTGTCCTCTTGCTCAGTTGTGCACCGGGGCCTCCCACTCCTCTTTCTATTCTGGTTAGAGCCAGTTTGCGCTGTTCTGTGGAGGGAGTAGTACACAGCGAGATCTTCAGTTTCTTGGCAATTTCTCACAAGGAATAGCCTTCATTTCTCAGAACAAGTATAGACTGACGAGTTTCAGAAGAAAGTTATTTTTTTCTGCCCATTTTGAGCCTGTAATCGAACCCCACAATTGCTAATGCTCCAGATACTCAACTAGTCTCAAGAAGGACAGTTTTATTGCTGCTTTAATCAGCAGAACAGTTTTCAGCTGTGCTAACATAATTGCAAAAGGGTTTTCTAATAATCAACTAGCCTTTTTAAAATGATAAACTTGGATTAGCAAACACAACATGCCATTGGAACACAGGACTGATGGTTGCTGATAATTGGCCTCTGTACGCCTATCTAGATATTCCATTAAAAATCTGCTGTTTCCAGCTACAATAACCATTTACAACATTAACAATGTCTACACTGTATTTCTCATCAATTTGATGTTATTTTAATGGACCAAAAAATTGCTTTTCTTTAGAAGAAATACATTTCTAAGTGACCCCAAACGTTTGAACCGTAGTGTATGTGAAAACAGCGCATCTCTATGATCTGTGGTAAAAATAAATACATGTAATAATATATATATATTTGTTTTTATGTAATGCCTTTTGTGAACTAACACTTGACTTTTTACGAGGGAAATAAGGATTTGACCCCTCTGCAAAACATGACTTAGTACTTGGTGGCAAAACCCTTGTTGGCAATCAGAGGTCAGACGTTTCTTGTAGTCAACCTTCAGCTCCCTCCACAGATTTTCTATGGGATTAAGGTCTGGAGACTGGCTAGGCCACTCCAGGACCTTAATGTGCTTCTTCTTGAGCCACTCCTTTGTTGCCTTGGCTGTGTGTTTTGGGTCATTGTCATGCTGGAATACCTATCCACGACCCATTTTCAATGCCCTGGCTGAGGGAAGGAGGTTCTCACCCAAGATTTGACAGTACATGGCCCCGTCCATCGTCCCTTTGATGCGGTGAAGTTGTACTGTCCCCTTAGCAGAAAAACACCCCCAAAGCATAATGTTTCCACCGCCATGTTTGACGGTGGGGATGGTGTTCTTGGGGTCATAGGCAGCATTCCTCCTCCAAACACAGCGAGTTGAATTGATGCCAAAGAGCTCAATTTTGGTCTCATCTGACCACAACACTTTCACCCAGTTCTCCTCTGAATCATTCAGATGTTCATTGGCAAACTTCAGACGGGCCTGTATATGTGCTTTCTTGAGCAGGGGGACCTTGCGGGCGCTGCAGGATTTCAGTCCTTCACGGCGTAGTGTGTTACCAATTGTTTTCTTGGTGACTATGGTCCCAGCTGCCTTGAGATCATTGACAAGATCCTCCCGTGTAGTTCTGGGCTGATTCCTCACTGTTCTCATGATCATTGCAACTCCACGAGGTGAGATCTTGCATGGAGCCCCAGGCCAAGGGAGATTGACAGTTTTTTGTGTTTCTTCCATTTGCGAATAATCGCACCAACTACTGTCACCTTCTCACCAAGCTGCTTGGCGATGGTCTTGTAGCCCATTCCAGCCTTGTGTAGGTCTACAATCTTGTCCCTGACATCCTTGGAGAGCTCTTTGGTCTTGGCCATGGTGGAGAGTTTGGAATCTGATTGATTGATTGCTTCTGTGGACAAGTGTATTTTATACAGGTAACAAGCTGAGATTAGGAGCACTCCCTTTAAGAGTATGCTCCTAATCTCAGCTCGTTACCTGTATAAAAAACACCTGGGAGCCAGAAATCTTTCTGATTTAGAGGGGGTCAAATACTTATTTCCCTCATTAAAATGCAAATCAATTTATAAAATTTTTGACATGCCTTTTTCTGGATTTTTTTGTTATTCTGTCTCACTGTTCAAATAAACCTACCATTAAAATGATAGACTGATCATTTCTTTGTCAGTGGGCAAACGTACAAAATCAGCAGGGGATCAAATACTTTTTTCCCTCACTGTATGTGTTTCGGTAAAAATGACATTTTTGTTTTATTCTATAAACTACTGACAACATTTCTCCCAAAATTCCAAATAAAAATATTTTCATTTAGAGCATTTATTTGCAGAAAATGACAACTGGTCAAAATAACAAAAAAGATGCAGTGTTGTCAGACCTCGATTAATGCAAAGATTTTTAAACAACACAATACTAATGTTTTAACTTAGGAAGAGTTCAGAAATCAATATTTGGTGGAATAACCCTGATTTTCAATCACAGATTTCATGCGGCTTGGCATGCTCTCCACCAGTCTCTCACATTGATGTTGGGTGACTTTATGCCACTCCTGGCGCAAAACTTCAAGCAGCTCTGCTTTTTTTGATGGCTTGTGACCATCCATCTTCCTCTTGATCACATTCCAGTAGTTTTCAATGGAGTTCAGGTCTGGAGATTGGGCTGGCCCTGACAGGGTCTTGATCTGGTGGTCCTCCATTCACACCTTGATTGACCTGGCTGTGTGGCATGGCGCATTGTCCTGCTGGAAAAACCAATCCTCAGAGTTGGGGAACAATGTCAGAGCAAAAGGAAGCAAGTTTTCTTCCAGGACAACCTTGTACGTGGCTTGATTCATGTGTCCTTCACAAAGACAAATCTTCCCGATTCCAGCCTTGCTGAAGCACCCCCAGATCATCACCGATCCTCCACCAAATTTCACAGTGGGTGCGAGACACTGTGGCTTGTAGGCCTCTCCAGGTCTCCGTCTAACCATTAGACGACTAGGTGTTGGGCAAAGCTGAAAATTGGACTCATCAGAGAAGATGACCTTACGCCAGTCCTCTACGGTCCAATCCTTATGGTTTTTCACAAACCTCAGCCTGGCTCCCCTAGGAGCCTGTTTCGAACCGTCCTCGCCGTGCACTTCACCCCAGCTGCCGTTAGCCATTATTTTTGTAGGTCACTTGATGTCATCCTACTGTTGTTGAGTGACATTCTAATGAGTTTGCAGTCATCCCGGTCAGTAGAGTCGTTTTTTCGCCCTCTGCTGGTCTGTAGCTTTGTTGTCCCCAATGTCTCCTGCTTGACCTTGTTCTTATGAACTGCCGTCTTTGAAATTTTAAGGATGGAAGCAACCTGATGCTCACTGTATCCCTCTGCCAGTAAAGCCAGAATTGAACCCTTTTCCTCACTCAACTTTCCTTTTCAACTCTTTTGGCATGGTCAATAGTTATTTTTCGATAAATATTACATTTGAGGTACTAATAGCACTATTTTTGCCATCCAGCTGGTCCCATTGCAAGAGGATAGTGATGACCACAGCAGTGGTTTTTATACTTTTCCTCATTAAATAAGACTTGGTTCAGGTGATCACCTAATCAGTACCTAATTCAGTAGAATGAGCTGTGCCTGTGTTGGAATTCAACAGACACGGGAATGGAATGGCTGTCATACATGTAGAGATGCTGATTTAAGAAAAAGTTGCAGTGGTCTCTTAATTCTTTCCACAGCTGTATGTAGACACTGGTATTTTGCTGGAGATAATGAAAATGAGGTTTAAAAATTGTGGAATTGCCCTGTCACGTTTTTAATTTCACCAACATCAAATTATTTGCTGTATCAAGTCGGTGTTCTTACAGTATAGAGTTCTCTGAAGCTTTTCATTGTCTGCTTTCCATGAAGGCTTTCCCTGCTATAACGGGCCTCCTAAATTGTCCGGTGGACTCATCTGGTGAACGAGACTACTAGTTCATCACACACAGAGTTTCTCTTTGTATATTGCATTCTCTCTCAGGACCTGGGCGAGATGGTGGATTTGGGGGTAGAGGTGGAGGATTTGGGGGTGGGGGGTCTGGTGGCGGAGGCAGGAGCGGCTCCATCTGGTCAGCTGCAGCCCTGCAGGCGTCTGTGGATGAAAGTCCTCCACAGGCCATCGACTGGGTCTCCATGAGGGAGAACCGGCACAAATACGAGGAGATGAAGTGGCAGGGTGAGTGGGGGAAACGCATACACACCACACACCGGGACTGCGTCACTGTTGACTAACTGACAACTGTTCCTACACTTGATTCTCCTGTCATCTTACATGACAGTATTCTGATTTGATAGAGTTCTTAGTGGCTGAATAGAACATTTTGATTTGGGACCGCTGCAGATCTCCCACCTCTGAAGAAGGATTTCTACTTTGAGTCAGAGATTGTAGCCAGTCGGTGTGAAGAGGAAGTGAGGGCATGGAGGTAAGTTGGGGACGAGGGCTTCATTTTTTGTCTCAATTGGAGGTATATTTCTTGTCCAGCAGAGGATGCTGTTTATCTATCCACTTTCTGAGTTTCTTCTGCTCAGTAAAATATTATCAACTCATAACTCTTCTCAGGAGACTCTGTGGTTCCATACCATCCAACATGAAACCAAAGTAACTATATTCCTGACTAATTCCACCCTCTCTTCCCGTAGGAAAGCGAATAACGATATCTTTGTGGACGACCTAAAGGAGGGAGAAGGGGAGAAACGTCCCTTTCCCAACCCTGTGGCCACGTTCAACGAAGCCTTCTTGCACTATCCTGGGATCATGGAGAATATTGTCAGAGTCGGCTTCGCCAAGCCAACTCCTATCCAGGTGCTTATTCAGTCAGAGTCCAACACCCCTTCCAAAATCTTGCTGTTTGTGTACAACTTTTGACCATCTCTGAGCAAAGGCTTGAGTGATTTTTCACAGACCAATTAGATGAGCAATACACTCCAAATTTAACTGAGCGGTAATAGTGCACTCACTCCATGCCCTTGAAGTTGGAGCATGATGGGGGCGGCGGCGCGGGGCGGTACTACTAAGCTAGCATATGGAATTGTTTTAAGATGGTCATACCATGCATAATTTAGCCATTTTATTTTGAATTTTAGGACCCCTTTAGTTATCAAATAAATATTTAGTTTCAAAATATTGAATTTGACCTTTACTACTATAGCCCATAAACGCATTGAATAACACATTCATAAATGGCAAAAAAAGACAGTCAATTACATAGGAATAAGGGTTTGAAGTGTCTGTCCTATATCTAGGAGATATAAGAAATATTTTAGTTTTTTTTAAACATATTTAACCCCATATTGTTGTTGGCACAAAACTACCTCCATACTTTCATTCATTTGTATTGGTTACCTTCAGACGAGTCCCGTGGGGGTCATAGAGAGAAACTGAACACCATCGTGTTTGTGAGAGTATAGTCTTTCCATAGAGCGGTCATGTTAGTTGGTAGGCCAAATCGTTCTCGTGAGAAGACAGATTTTCTGGATGTCTCCTGTTCTGACAAACAGCGCTGTAGCTTTACCACTTTCCACCGCAGATGTGGAAGGGGGACATAGGTGGCCGCAGTGGATAGAGACTCGGCCCATGCAAAGAAAACACATCTCTAGTTTAAAGTGATGGGTTTTGATGGGGATTTTTTATGTTCATTAAAAAGGATTAAGATTGTTAGGGGAGGAACTCTCATACATATTAACAACATCTAACAGAACACCTGAAAAGAAGGAGAGATTAACTGAAGAGTTGCTATGCAAAATAAGGTTTGCTTGTTTGTATCATTTATTGGGTAAGTTAGGTAAATGTATCTGTTGCTCAGGGGAATAACCGTGGTGTTGTCAAATATTTTGGAAAGACCCTCATAACTGCAACCTTGAGGGCAGATGTGTATCTAAAAAAAATGTAATGGGTACATTACAGTTGATAATTTCCCTCAAAATATACGAATGAAAAGCACAACGGATGAAGATTTAGAAAATAATACTTCCTCTAAACGTTTTTACTTGTTCACTTTCCTTCACTGATTTAATTAAAAGGAAATGGCTGGTATAAGAAAGATGTTGGAAACACTCTCCCATTCCTCCACCAATCCAATGCTTTTGTGGGATGTAGTGAACGAGTACACAATTCAGTAGAAATGTTGGCGCTGGCAAAAATGGCATTTCGCTATGACATTGAAATGTGAAATATGTTATTGGGAAACGCCCTTTGAAGCTCACTGAACGACATTTCTTCAGAAGTCTCTGCCTGTAATTTGCTGACTCATACCTTACTGTTGTCTCTGGTTATATCCAGTATGCATACAATTTCTGTATGCATGCACCCAGTTTCTGTTACGCCTCGGTTGTCATTGACATGGTCTTTTGTTGTGAGATACAAGATTTAGTTTTCGCTAACAGTTAACCCACTACTGTGATGCCATAGTTGGTACTTAGTACTGTACACAGTTGCACTATAACTCCCATGTTGTCATTGTCATTCCCATGCTGATGACAGTCTCAAGCCTGGCCCATGTTGCTGAAAGGAGATGACCTGATTGCGATCGCCCAGACAGGCACAGGGAAGACACTGGCCTACCTCCTACCTGGCTTTATTCACATGGATGGCCAGCCTGTGTGAGTTTACCACCATACTGGTATTACTTCCAGCCATGCGTCTTTCACACAATTGCTCAATCCAAGATTGACCCCAATCCCTAATGCTCTTCTGTAGTTCAGAAATAATGGGATAGGCATTTGACGTATTTTTTACTTTTGTGGGTGTATGGTTTACCTACCAACAGAAAAGTGGGTAAGCGGGACGGCCCTGGTATGCTGGTTCTCACTCCCACTAGAGAGCTGGCTCTGCAGATTGAGTCAGAGTGCAACAAGTACAGCTACAAGGGCTTCAAATGGTACCATACGTGCTCCTAACACACTGTATAGAATTATCATACTAGGGCTTCATCAAGCACCACATCTATTCTACTGTACTAACACCATAATACACACTAGCTTGAGGTACCATACCTATATTACTAACACTACATATGAAACCACAAGGGCTTCAAGAGATCACATCTATACTATGACCTACAGGGGAGATGTCTGCATGTGGAGCCTCCTCTGTGTTGTGTCTTTGTGTAGTGTGTGTGTCTACGGAGGTGGAGACCGCAGGGCCCAGATCAAAGCAATCTCAGTTGGAGTAGACATTGTGATCGCTACGCCTGGCCGGCTTAACGACCTGCAGAAGAACGAGCTGATCAACCTGCGTTCCATCACCTACCTGGTGTGTGTGTGTGTGTGTGTGTGTGTGGCAGTGGTGAGAGAGTGTGTGTGTGTGTGTGCGCGCGACTGTATTTGTGCATGGCTGTATTTGTGCATGGCTGTGTATGCTGCTGGTAGCGTGTGAGCATGTGTGTAACTGGGGGTTTCTGTGTTAGGTGCTGGATGAGGCAGACCGGATGCTTGACATGGGCTTTGAGCCTCAAATCATGAAGATTCTTTTGGACGTCCGTCCGGACAGACAGACTATGATGACCAGGTAAAGGGACCCCAAGATGGGAGAGCACCCCATTACTTCAGACACACTACAACTCTGTATCAACGTTCAGTTCCACAGTGTATAGAGCTCATCTGTTTTGTAAGAGTTACAATGCCTACCATTCCTTTGTTGATCTCTGCACATCTTGATGTCTTGTCTCTTCTCCGGTTGGCTAATTCAGTGCCACCTGGCCCACGGGAGTGAGGCGATTGGCCAAGACGTACCTGAAGAACCCCATGATGGTGTACGTGGGAACTCTGGACCTGGCTGTGAGTGGAGCTAATGCTCCTGCTGCTCATTGCAAATAAACATTAATTCAAATAAATAAGAAATGAATGGGATGTGTTAAGACCTAGGTAAGGGTTCAATCCGATCACGAGTTATATGCATTGTGGCTTTTAAAGGCAATTTCCGATTGCCGTGTTTACCGTGAATGGGATCTCTGCGAACGCGGGAACATTGCCTTTTTAAAGCCGCAATGCCTATAACCCGCGATTGGATTGATTGCAGGCCCTAGCTTATTAACAGCACTAGTGTTTGCTAGATGTTTGTCCCTGCCCAACCTAATAATCTGTAGATCTCTCTTCTCTCTCTACTCTCTCAGGCTGTGAACACAGTACAGCAGACTGTTCTCTTTTGTCAGGACGAGGAGAAGAAGGCCTATCTCTTTAACTTCGTCCACAACATGGAGCCTGAGGACAAAGTGCTCATCTTCGTAGGCAAGAAGATAATGTGAGTGTTGCCCTGCACTCATCTGTTCTCTCCTTGTTATATGTCCCATGTCAGACACACAGTATGATGGTCAGCAAGACATTGAGGAAACTAGAGATAATCCTTAGCCCGATTCGAGAGGCACTTCATGTATATTTGACAGAATTTCATGGGTATAAGATTGGTGTAAGGCAGGGCTCAGATCTGGCCTTTTTATCAATTTAGACTAGCCCCTTGATCAGTTTTTAACATTAATTTTAAAAAATCTATAAAGAAATCCCCAGCAAAAATCTGATGTTTAGTGCCAAAATGACAAGTGGGGTTTCTAGCACAATATTGCCATTTTGCCTCTGAATTTGGCTCCAGCGTTTGAACAGTTTGGGCTATAAACTATTATGACCCAATTCCTGAAAGCTAAGACTCAGGAACATGATGAGCCTTCTGTTTCCCTCTGATGTTCACAAGCTGTACAGGACAGAAGGGAGTGTGGGGAAAAAACACCTAATTACTAGGGAAAAGGAATTCAAAGCATATTTCCTTCAGACTGAAATGTGGAATTAGGCTACCCAATTGCGATATCTTTGTTATTTATAACTTTTATTGAGTTATGGCATTAAGGACAGATGAAAACATTTTCTTAAATATTTTGTACACATTTGTTCCTTAACAGAGTCAAATAGCCTCCTAGTCCATGTTATCACTATCTGTGTGTGTTTGGGCAGTAAAGAGAACACTTTGTTTTCAAAGGATTTTGAAATGACCTAATTACTTTTAGCAACATTTAAGTGCTTTATATGGTGTGTGTGCGTTGTTTGATACAGTTCTTCAGAAGAAGAATCGCATGTCAAATGTCCGGCACCCCTGCAATTAACTTTAAAAAAATAAAATAAGAATTAAGTTGAATAGCCTTGGTGTAAAGGATATTGTAGTAGCTCCACCTTGCTTCAGCTAGGTTAAGTGGACTTTTCACAAGGGCAAAAAGGGGTAAAAATTCTACCCATCGCAGATGTCCAAGTCAGCAAAACAACATGATGGGTGAACCAAGGAAAGGAAATGACCAAAACTGGGGAGAGATTGGCAAGTCATCTCATTTTAGCAGTTATTGTATCTGATTCTGGCACTCATTATATGGTCTTTTATCAATTATCAATTATATTCCTGCGTCCTCGCTCCTCCGTCCTGTCTCGCTTCCTTTTGAAAAAGGTTAAAGTTAATCGAGGAGAGTGAACGTGGATGGAAATGCACTTGCTTGAAATGAGATGTTCCTTCTCCACTTGTGCATTAGGCAAATGACGTTTTACAGGGGTGGATCCCAAAATATATGTGTAAAGTGATCAAAACAATTTCAGTTAGTTGTGCAAGACATTTTATAGATGAAACAATAAGTCTAATATTGTTTTTAAACGTGTGCATGTTTTTCTCCTCTGACAAAACAAAAGCTAATTCAAAGGGGATGTGGCAGATTTCAAAACTCTGGTAGGATACACATGAGTATCCTCGATGAAAGGTGGCTATTGAGGAGGGGAAGACACTCTTTAGTTTGCCTACTAATGAATTGACACAGTCCTCGGCCACTTATCGGTTTCTGGGCCACTGAGGATGGTCTTTTGCCCAAACGAGAGAACCTGTATGACAAAAAAAATGGCCACTCAACTGTCTATGCTGCTGCCCACACTTGTTTGGTTTAGACAGTGGTGTTTCCCAACCTAGCCCTCCAGGCTTTTTCTTACAGACTGAGCACTGTTCTGAGGTGTGGCTTTTAGATGCGCTTCCAGGAAAACTAAACTTAGGCTATATTTAATTCTACCACCGCCCCTCCCAGTGCCAGGGCAATGCAAATAGTCTGGGTAGCCATTTGATTAGATGTTCAGGAGTCTGATGGCTTGGGGGTAGAAGCTGTTTAGAAGCCTCTTGGACCTAGACTTGGCGCTCCGTAACCGCTTGCCGTGCGGTAACAGAGAGAACAATCTGACTAGGGTGGCTGGAGTCTTTGACAATTTTTAGGGCCTTCCTCTGACACCGCCTGGTATAGAGGTCCTGGATGGCAGGAAGCTTGGCCCCAGTGATGTACTGGGCCGTACGCATTACCCTCTGTAGTGCCTTGCGGTCGGAGGCCGAGCAGTTGCATACCAGGTAGTGATGCAACCAGTCAGGATGCTCTCAATGGTGCAGCTGTATAATCTTTTCAGTCTCCTTAGGGGGAATAGGTTTTTTCATGCCCTCTTCACGAGTGTCTTGGTGTGTTTGGACCATGTTAGCTTGTTGGTGATGTGGACACCAAGGAACTTGACGCTCTCAACCTGCTCCGCTACAGCCCTGTCGATGAGAATTGGGGCTTGCTCGGTCCTCTTCGTTTTCCTGTAGTCCACAATCATCTCCTTTGTCTTGATCACGTAGAGGGAGAGGTTGTTGTCCTGGCACCACACGGCCAGGTCTCTGACCTCCTCACTATAGGCTGTATCGTCGTTGTTGTTGATCAGGCCTACCACTGTTGTCATCGGCATACTTAATTATGGTGTTGGAGTCGTGCCTGGCCATGCAGTCATGAGTGAACAGGGAGTACAGGAGGGGACTGAGCACGCACCCCTGAGGGGCCCCCGTGTTGAGGATCAGCGTGGCGGATGTGTTGTTACCTACCCTTACCACCTGGGGGCGGCCCGTCAGGAAGTCCAGGATTTGAGGGCACTATGGTGTTGAACGCTGAGCTGTAGTCAATGAATAGCATTCTCACTTAGGTGTTCCTTTTGTCCAGGTGTGAAAGGGCAGTGTGGAGCGCAATAGAGATTGCATCATCTGTGGATCTGTTGGGGCGGTATGCAAAGTTTTCTATTGCTTGACCCCATCAACAACAATTTGTTGAGACCAGCTCATGGGCTGGTGCCACAAGGGATAACAGTTAATCTGGAGCCCTGCTGTAAGGGGTGTGTCGGCACTATAAAGAATCTGTGCATCTGCAGCCTCTTACAACACCCTGCCTTCAAGGATTTATAAAGGTTTAATCAATCACCAAATACTAGAAGATTTTCTGATTTCTTACCAAAAGGTGTGACGACCTGTCCAGTGACATGTGTCTGCGTGGCCTGGCAGTACAGAGTCTTCATGGGGACCGGGAACAGTGTGACCGCGAGGAGGCTCTCAAGGACTTCAAAGAAAGTAGGTTGATAGTTGGTTGTAGGTCCCTAGCCACTGATCTGAGGTCAGTGGTCCTCTGTAGCTCAGTTGATGGAGCATGGCTCTTACAACGCCAGGATAGTGGGTTCGATTACCGGGACCACCCAGACGTAAAAAATTTATACACGCGACTGTAAGTCGCTTTGGATAGAACCGTCTGCTAAATGGCATATATATTTAAAGCTGGGGTGGCCAACCCCCCTCCTGGGGAGCTACTGGGGTTGCAGGCTTTCGTTGTGTGTGTGCTTCCTAAACAACAGGTGTAGACTAACAGTGATATGCTTACTTATGGGCCCTTCCCAACAATGCAGAGAGAAGTGGAAAAAGAATATACTGAACAAAAATATAAACGCAACATGTGAAGTGTTGGTCCCATGTTTCATGAGCTGAAATAAAATATCCCAGAAATGTTTCATACCACAAAAAGCTTATTTCTCTCCAATTTTGTGCACAAATTTGTTTACGTCCCTGTTAGTGAGCATTTCTCCTTTGCCAAGGTAATCCATCCACCTGACAGGTGTGGCATATCAAGAAGCTGATTAAACAGCATGATCATTACGCAGGTGAACCTAGTGCTGGGGACAATAAAAGGCCACTCTAAAATGTGCAGTTTTGTCACACAACACAATGCCACAGATGTCTCAAGTTGAGGGAGTGTGCAATTGGCATGCTGACTACAGGAAAGTCCACCACAGCTGTTGCCAGAGAATGTCATGTTCATTTCTCTAACATAAGTCGGCTCCAACGTCGTTTTAGAAAATGTTGCAGTACGTCCAACCGGCCTCACAACCGCAGACCACGTGTAACCACGCCAGCCCAGGACCTCCATATCCGGCTTCTTCACCTGCAGGATCGTCTGAGACCAGCCACCTGGACAGCTGATGAAACAGGAGTATTTCTGTCTGTAATAAGCCCTTTTGTGGAGAAAAACTCATTCTGATTGGCTGGGCCTGGCTACCCAGTGGCTGGGCCTGGCTACCCAGTGGCTGGGCCTGGCTACCCAGTGGCTGGGCCTGGCTCCACAGTGGGTGGGCCTATGCCCTCCCAGGCCCACCCATGGCTGCGCCCTTGCCCAGTCATGTGAAATCCATAGATTAGGGCCTAATGAATTTATTTCAATTGACTGATTTCCTTATATGAACTGTAACTCAGTAAAATCAATGAAATTGTTGCATGTTGCGTTTTATATTTTTGTTCAGTATAGAAAGATTATAACACAAGGAATAAATAGACAATGAGTACATGGCTTACCAGTACCATGTCGATGTGCAGGGGTACATGCGGCCAATGTCTATATGGAGATTGCATGGCTGTGTGCTCGATTTTATACACCTGTCAGCAACCGGTGTGACTGAAATAGCCGAATCCACTAATTTGAAGGGGTGTCCACATACTTTTGGCCATGTACTGAATGTAGGTGTGTGTTGCCACAGGTGTTGTCCGTATCCTAGTGGCCACTGACCTGGCCTCCCGAGGGCTGGACGTCACAGACATTACACACGTATTCAACTTTGACTTCCCAATGAACATTGAAGAGTATGTGCATCGCGTGGGCCGCACGGGCCGAGCAGGGTGAGTGTGTGTCCTTTCTCTAACTGAGCTGTTTCAAGAGATATCATCATGTTTCAGCAATATTTTTTCTGATGTGTTATTGTTGACAGTTTTAACGTTTTTTTCCTCTCCTCTTTATAATTGCTAGACGCTCTGGGGCCTCTATCACCTTGGTAACGAGAGGAGACTGGAGGAAGGCTGCTGACCTGATCCACATCCTGGAGAGGGCTGGACAGGTACTCGTCTCGCTCTCTCACACACACATACACAGACAGTCATTCACATTGTCTAACAAATGAGACATATTTGGATTGAGCCTGAACCCCTGTGTAGGAGGTACCTGATGAGCTGGTGCTCATGGCAGAGCGATACGAGAAGCACAAGCGAGAGAAGGAGATGTGCGGCCCTGGAGGAGGAGGAGGGGGAAGAGGGGGAGGAGGCGGTGGGGGAAGAGGAATAAGAGACAGAGGAGAGTCTAACTGGAGGTTCTAACCCATTACAGTTACACAGATTAAGCGTTTAAACATTTATGTGTGAAGAGAAGTGCTGTGGTGTCAACAATATCACATTTTATTGGTCACATACACATGTTTAGCAGTCCTTTGGGTTCACAGATGAGGCATCTTTGCTATTATGTATTCCCTTCTATTGAAAAGTAGGATATTTGGCACATACACAATGCAATTTATTGATATTCAGCTGAAAACGCCACTGCCCTCAGGCCTTAAATTCCAATGCATGGCTATTAACAAAGAAACCACTTTTTGTGCTAAAAGCTGAACAGAAATACAAATATTGTGTAAAACAGAGAACACTCAGTGTGTTCACATCACACACACATTTTCTCTGTTAGACAGTTGGAGTCCGAGAATATGAACGTGTGGTCACACCAATTATAGCTGGGGGTTCCTAGCATGCACCTGGACCAACTGTCAGTCATTTTCTATTTCTTTGGTTTGGCCAAGATGCTCACAAAGGTTGGTAAATACTCTGCAAGGAATAGATGGTGTTGACATACTTAGTAGGAAGATTTCTTGAATGTTATTATTTTTAAAGGGTTAAAAATCTTCACTGACAGCTCATGTTTGCCCCAAAAGTCTAATCTCCCTTTGCCAATTGTCGAATCTGTATTTCTTCATTTTTCAGAAGAGGAAGAAGCAACTTCAGTTCTGGAACCTCCAGCGTTGAGCCTTTTTTGTGTGTTACACATTTTTGTTTTTGTATTGAATAATTCATAGTGTTGTACAGACTTTGTTTAAATTACCTTTTATAATTTGTTGGAGAAGAGCAGTTGGCGCTCACTCAATGTATCATCTCTGAGAAGACTCAAAACTGTTCAAGTAAGATCTGAATTAAATCTCAACTTCTGACCCCTATCTCCTCTGCTCTTCAATTCCTCCTGCCTATGCCATTGCTTTTAGAATAGACAACATTATGGGATCACAGCTGTACTCCACTTATGTCTATTGGGGCTCTGGATGAGTCACTAAGGGGGCCGTGATTGAGGTAGTCCCGACTCACTAGTGGAAGATGGGGAAACCATTGTTGCGCTCCTCCTCAATGTGCCGGGCCAGGAGCTGACAGCTCTTGCGGTTGTGGCCGGAGCCCAGCAGGTTGTGTGTGGGGATGAAGAAGTTGGGGAGCATGCCTTCTTTCAGGTGGCCCTCAAAGTCCTCCAGCAGCTGCTGGAAGCAGGGTCCCAGCCGGGTCGCCTCCCAGTAACTGTCCTTGGTCCTGGAGCAGCAGGCGTGCAGCAGGGTGGTCTTTGCGTGGTAGGAACAGAACTTGGACAGACTAGGGATCTTTGCCTTCAGCAGGCCCAATAGGTGCTTCAGAAGCTTTAGACAGTCCTTCCTGAAGGAAGAAAATGGGCAAGCCTCAGGCGCACATGATCATACACAATTTATCAATGTAAATGGGTTTGGTTAATAATGATTCAAGAAATGTACAATTTAAAGGTCTACTTCATGGAAAGTACACTTTTCTCGTTAATTATTCCCTGTACTGTAGCTGACAATATTTGTCAAGGTTTTGGCAGGGCATTATGACTACAGTATACATTCTACAGTAGGCTTACCTGCAGCAGCGAGTCCCACTGGTCTCGCAGCAGGTCTTCAGGGAGCCATGATTAGTTAGGATATTCTTCTCCACATGCGAGAATGAGATGCGCCATGAGTCTGTGCATAACAGGACAATAAAAAACAGTTAGGATACTTGGCAAAAGGCCATACATGCATCTTCCCCTTTCTACCGAACTCTCGTTCATGAACAAATCACAAATGAAAGTGATAGCATGTTTTTTAACAAATGAAAGTGAGGGCATGTTTTACGCGCAATGTGTAAATCTTGTTGACCTAATAGTTACCTCTAGCGCAGACCCCATCCCGTTCCAACGTGCCCTTTCCCTCATACTTCGGAACGAGGTAGTATGGCTTAAACTTTTGTTCTTTCTTCACTTTGGTCCCAAGCCAGTTGTCTATTTTGAAGCCTTCCTGTGTGAAAGTGGGCCATCTCGACCTGACTTCTAGCCCCAGAACAATGTCCAGTGAGATAGGGACAGCTCCCTCCCGGTTTATCTGGAAGGTCACTGCCGGGCAACCCTTCTGCTTCTTGTCCAACAACACGTCTTGACAGAAGTTGTCTATTGAAAGATGTGAAATGCAATTAAGAAATGTTTTACCATACATACACAATTTCTCTACTTATACAACCTACAAAGCAATCAGTCGTTTATGCATTTGGGAAGCGCGCGCTGCAGTCGTACCCACCTTTGTGTTCCTTCAAACACTTTATAACCTCGTTTCTGAAGTCTTTAAGCATTCCACTCGCAGATAGCGTGTTGTCCTCATGTAGAAAGCGATCCAGCGAGTGTTTTCCCCGTTTAAATCCCACGCTATAAAAAGCGCCATCATCCCCAAATGGTCGAATATTCACCCGCCGGACCGGCAAAGTCAACATCACATCAAATTCGTCGGGATTAGAAATCTATATTGATCAAAACATAAGAAGAAATCCATAAGGCATGAAAGCGTATTGGGTCACATTGGTGGTGCACGATTGAATTTATTACCCACCTTTAGATTCTCGTAGTAACTTCCAGTGCGCATATCATTTACATCTTTGAAGCATTCCGTACACTTTTTCATGTAGTCCATTATACACTTGACCAAGTCATTAACAATTTTTGCTGATTCCGATTTCTCTGTCATCTTAATCTTTAATTGATCAAGGGTTGTAAACAGGATCTTATCCGGATTTGAGTCAACATAACCGTTTCTGACCATCCTTGAACTGGTCTTTCCTTTTAAGCACTTGTCCAGTGGGACAGTTGGCTTTCCCTCAGTGGTGCACTTAGGCTGCTTATGCTCCTTGGTTATCTTGTGTTTCTTTTCCTCAGGGATCTGTTGCGTTTCCTTAGTGTCCATCACTGGTTCCTTTGGAGGTTCTGGACTCTTTGTGTGGGCCCCTTTTGGACTCTTTGCGCGGGCCCCTTTTGGACTCTTTGCGCGGGCCCCTTTTGGACTCTTTGCGCGGGCCCCTTTTGGACTCTTTGCGCGGGCCCCTTCTGGACTCTTTGCGCGGGCCCCTTCTGGACTCTTTGCGCGGGCCCCTTCTGGACTCTTTGCGCGGGCCCCTTCTGAACTCTTTGCGCGGGCCCCTTTTGGACTCTTTGCGCGGGCCCCTTTTGGACTCTTTGCGCGGGCCCCTTCTGGACTCTTTGCGCGGGCCCCTTTTGGACTCTTTGCGCGGGCCGCTTTTGGTCTTCTTGGCTTCCCTCTCCCGCTCATTGTAGTATGTATGATCGTGATGCGACACCCACAAGTGTCTTCTATGCCAGATAAATGATTGTATTCACTTTCAGTTTGTTGAAATGTGATTGAACACTCCCCTTTCTATATACAGTATCAGCTCATCGCCCTCTTGTGTCGCAAGCTAGTGAGCCAGAGTAAAGAAAAGCACATTTACTCCCACCCCACGCTTGTCACATAATGACAGATTCTACCTACCGCCAGGAATGGGCACAAATTACAAAATACCATCAAAGATCAATGTATCAAAATAAACTACAAAATATTAGTATTTTGAAATGTATTTAATTAAAATGCATATTTGTATTTGAAAATACATTTGCAAGTAGCTGAACCAAACAGCAACAAAATTCTCAATTGTTACAGAAACTATTTACTTGCTATGACTGTGATATGTTGTTTATCTACCTTAGTTGAATGCACTGACTAGAAGTCACTCTGGATAAGAGGGTGTGCTAAATGACAAATGTACAGTGGGGGAAAAAAGTATTTAGTCAGCCACCAATTGTGCAAGTTCTCCCACTTAAAGATGAGAGAGGCCTGTAATTTTCATCATAGGTACACGTCAACTCTGACAGACAAAATGAGGAAAAAAAATCCAGAAAATCACATTGTAGGATTTTTAATGAATTTATTTGCAAATTATGGTGGAAAATAAGTATTTGGTCAATAACAAAAGTTTCTCAATACTTTGTTATATACCCTTTGTTGGCAATGACACAGGTCAAACGTTTTCTGTAAGTCTTCACAAGGTTTTCACACACTGTTGCTGGTATTTTGGCCCATTCCTCCATGCAGATCTCCTCTAGAGCAGTGATGTTTTGGGGCTGTCGCTGGGCAACACAGACTTTCAACTCCCTCCAAAGATTTTCTATGGGGTTGAGATCTGGAGACTGGCTAGGCCACTCCAGGACCTTGAAATGCTTCTTACGAAGCCACTCCTTCATTGCCCGGGCGGTGTGTTTGGGATCATTGTCATGCTGAAAGACTCAGCCACGTTTCATCTTGCCCTTGCTGATGGACGGAGGTTTTCACTCAAAATCTCACGATACATGGCCCCATTCATTCTTTCCTTTACACGGATCAGTCGTCCTGGTCCCTTTGCAGAAAAACAGCCCCAAAGCATGATGTTTCCACCCCCATGCTTCACAGTAGGTATGGTGCTCTTTGGATGCAACTCAGCATTATTTGTCCTCCAAACACGACGAGTTGAGTCTATCCAAATAGTTGAGTCTATTTTGGTTTCATCTGACCATATGACATTCTCCCAATCCTCTTCTGGATCATCCAAATGCACTCTAGCACACTTCAGACGGGCCTGGACATGTACTGGCTTAAGCAGGGGGACACGTCTGGCACTGCAGGATTTGAGTCCCTGGCGGCGTAGTGTGTTACTGATGGTAGGCTTTGTTACTTTGGTCCCAGCTCTCTGCAGGTCATTCACTAGGTCCTCCCGTGTGGTTCTGGGATTTTTGCTCACCGTTCTTGTGATCATTTTGACCCCACGGGGTGAGATCTTGCATGGAGCCCCAGATCGAGGGAGATTATCAGTGGTCTTGTATGTCTTCCATTTCCTAATAATTGCTCCCACAGTTGATTTCTTCAAACCAAGCTGCTTACCTATTGCAGATTCAGTCTTCCCAGCCTGGTGCAGGTCTACAATTTTGTTTCTGGTGTCCTTTGACAGCTCTTTGGTCTTGGCCATAGTGGAGTTTGGAGTGTGACTGTTTGAGGTTGTGGACAGGTGTCTTTTATACTGATAACAAGTTCAAACAGGTGCCATTAATACAGGTAACGAGTGGAGGACAGAGGAGCCTCTTAAAGAAGAAGTTACAGGTCTGTGAGAGCCAGAAATCTTGCTTGTTTGTAGGTGACCAAATACTTATTTTCCACCATAATTTGCAAATAAATTCATAAAAAATCCTACAATTTGATTTTCTGGATTTTTTTTCTCAATTTGTCTGTCATAGTTGACGTGTACCTATGATGAAAATTACAGGCCTCTCTCATCTTTTTAAGTGGGAGAACTTGCACAATTGGTGGCTGACTAAATACCTTTTTCCCCCACTGTATATGTGAAAATGAACATACCAAAATTAACTGCAAAGCACACTGGGTATTATTGTTGGCCTTGTTTTGGGGTGGAGCTCATTAGAATAATACTCAGCATGCTTTGCAATTGTTCATTTTTACATATACATTTAGTTCATATACTTGAAAGGGAGCCACAATGGTGAACCGCTATAGAAAATTTTGAATAGAAAATAAAAACTACACCTCTCGAAAGTATCTTGTTAGAAAATACATTGGTGTAGTTCAGCCCAGTGTAATACAAAATACATATTTCAAATACATGTAACAGAAATACTGCCCATCTGCCTATTGTCAGGTAAATCACGTGATAAATGTACGACACTAAATCCCCATCTTCCATCAAGGACTTGCATTTCAATATGATGGATACAACGATAGATACTGTATGTAACTTGTACTTTTCTTGACCCTCATGAATTAACTAGTTTACTACACCATGGCAAAAGACATAAGTATAAGATGTCTCCTCAGATATCCATGAACCCCGGAGGGGATTCATGAGACAGGACGCACAGCTTAGAGCATTTTAATGATTCACTTCAATCATACTCATCATTCAATCGAAAAAGGGTAGAGACATTCTGGTTGGTTAAATTATCTTTAATGTCATGACAAGACTTGTGCCATTTTGGACAGCGTAAGGTGCAACAGCTTCTGCCAATTTAAAAGTTTTCCAGTGCAAAGATAGCAAAACGCCAATTAAAAGTGCTGGGAGAGTCAACAATTGGTCTACTCAGTGTGCCTAGAGTGAGACATTTAAAACGTGTATATATTTTTTCCTTTAAAGCTATAACACAACATACACTTTAGAGAAATTTGTTTCTACTTGTAAGAGTTTTAAGTTATTACCGAAGGCTGCTATAAAGCACCAGGTAGTTTACAAACGAACACTAAAAGCAAGACAACAGACCACGTGAAGAGTGACTTCTAACTGCAGTCCAGAGAGGAAGGGGGTGGCAGTTACCACGGCCCTCTATGGTTACAATATCTCACACATGGGGAACATGGTCATTCACATATTTAACAGTACACGTTTAAAACTAGCAATGTGCTATTACAACGTAAATAAATACATATGAATCTAACCACTTTGAAATGAGAGAAAGAACAAACGCTGTCTTAAGGACTAGGCTTAATATTTGTTTCTTTCCTTCTGATACTTTTGCGATGCATTGTGATTATTAACCAGTGTTTGACTATGGAGTTGAAGCAGCCAATAAGGGGGTGGGGTTGGGTGACTACTGTCCTGCCATGGGTGACTCTGGAGTCGGCAGCGCAGCACAACATTCATTTGGTCTTCTGCGCCTTCTGGGCAGACTTGGTGACCTTGCCAGTGGAGGGGGCTTTCTTCTCAACGCCCTTGATCACCCCGACTGCCACAGTCTGGCGCATGTCACGCACTGCAAAACGACCTGCAGAGAGAGGATGTCAGATCAATGGTAACTTCAAGGGAGAGTGGAATCTTTTTCAAAGAATTCCAACCAGGCCCAAGAGTTATACTACCCAACAGTACTCACCCAGTGGAGGGTACTCTGAGAAGCTCTCCACACACATGGGTTTCCCCGGAACCATGTCCACGATGGCGGCGTCCCCAGACTTCAGAGCCTTGGGGTTGTCCTCTAGCTTCTTGCCTGAGCGACGGTCAATCTTCTCCTTGAGCTCAGCAAACTTGCAGGCGATGTGGGCAGTGTGGCAGTCCAGCACTGGGGCATAGCCAGCACTGATCTGACCTGGGTGGTTCAGGATGATCACCTAGAGGAGATATCAGACAGTCAACATAGTTGTTCTGTCAGCACCTGTATCAGCAATGATATTAGATGTTGGCCTCTTTGCTGCCAAAAATAGCTCCCCATAGCTCATCACACTGTGCCACAAATTGATATTTGTGAGAGAAAAGCAGTATGAAAGAGGAAAGGAATAGATGGGATATTAATAGTAACCGCCAATCTATATCATCACCACCAATACTTGTATCCATGTGATCACTACCGTGTATCATAGTTAAACAATTTTTAGTTGTATGTATGACTTTTGGTTCTATGGTTTCTACACCTCTACAGTAGCTGTGAGTGTGTATCTGGCCCTGCCCACCTGAGCAGTGAAGACTGCTGCCTCCATTGGGGGGTCGTTCTTGCTGTCTCCAGCCACGTTGCCACGGCGAATGTCCTTGACGGACACATTCTTGACGTTGAAGCCCACGTTGTCTCCGGGCATTGCTTCGGTCAGGGCCTCGTGGTGCATCTCCACAGACTTCACCTCAGTGGTCACGTTAACAGGTGCAAAGGTCACCACCATGCCTGGCTTGATCATGCCCGTCTCCACACGCCCCACGGGCACTGTGCCAATACCTGAGGGAGAGTAGATAAGAAAGTGAAGGTGGAGGGAGTATGAGGAAGGGATGTATTAGGGATGTGCATCTTTCAAGACGATTCGATACGTATCTAGATGCATGGGCTCCGATACGATACAGGAACGATTCATTTTAGTTTGAAATGATTCGGTTTGATTAGAGAATGCAAATTAATTACTTAAAAATCATACAATGTGATTTTTTTTATTTTTGTTTTAGATTCCGTCTCTCACAGTTGAAGTGTACCTATGATAAAAATTACAGACCTCTACATGCTTTGTAAGTAGGAAGACCTGCAAAATCTGCGGGATCGGGGCACCACCAGTGCAGAGCTTGCTCAGGAATGGCAGCAGGCAGGTGTGAGTGCATCTGCACGCACAGTGAGGCGAAGACTTTTGGAAAATGGCCTGGTGACAAATGGTTGATCAAGGAGGGCAGCAAAGAAGCCACTTCTCTACAGGAAAAACATCAGGGACAGACTGATATTCTGCAAAAGGTACAGGGATTGGACTGCTGAGGACTGGGGTAAAGTCATTTTCTCTGAATCCCCTTTCCGATTGTTTGGGGCGTCCGGAAAACACCTTGTCTGGAGAAGACAAGGTGAGCGCTACCATCAGTCCTGTGTCATGCCAACAGGCCGAGGGAGATTGACAGTTATTTTGTGTTTTCTTCTATTTGCGAATAATCGCACCAACTGTTGTCACCTTCTCACCAAGCTGCTTGGCGATGGTCTTGTAGCCCATTCCAGCCTTGTGTAGGTCTACAATCTTGTCCCTTACATCCTTGGAGAGCTCTTTGGTCTTGGCCATGGTGGAGAGTTTGGAATCTGATTGATTGATTGCTTCTGTGGACAGGTGTCTTTTATACAGGTAACAAACTGAGATTAGGAGCACTCCCTTTAAGAGTGTGCTCCTAATCTCAGCTCGTTACCTGTATAAAAGACACCTGGGAGCCAGAAATCTTTCTGATTGAGAGGGGGTCAAATACTTATTTCCCTCCATTAAAATGCAAATCAATTTATAACATTTTTGACATGCGTTTTTCTGGATTTTTTTGTTGTTATTCTGTCTCTCACTGTTCAAATAAACCTACCATTAAAATTATAGACTGATCATTTCTTTGTCAGTGGGCAAACGTACAAAATCAGCAGGGGATCAAATATTTTTTTCCCTCACTGTACCACAGTAACATCTGACAAAAATATCTCATAACACTGAAGCAGCGAACTTTGTGAAGACCAATACTTGTGTCATTCTCAAAACTTTTCACCACGACTGTACAGATGAACGTGGTACCTTCAGGCATTTGGAAATTGCTCCCAAGGATGAACCAGACTTGTGGAGGTCTAAAATTTTATTTCGGAGGTCTTGGCTGATTTCTTTTGATTTTCCCACGATGTCAAGCACAGAGGCAATGAGTTTGAAGGTAGGCCTTGAAATACATCCACAGGTACACCTCCAATTGACTCAAATGATGTCAATTAGCCTATCAGAAGCTTCTAAGGCCGTGACATCATTTTCTGGAATTTTCCAAGCTGTTTAAAGGCACAGTCAACTTAGTGTATGTAAACTTCTGACCCACTGGAATGGTGATACAGAGAATTATAAGTGAAATAATCTGTCTGTAAACAATTGTTGGAAAAATTACTTGTCATGCACAAAGTAGCTGTCCTAACCGACTTGCCAAAACTATAGTTTGTAAACAAGAAATTTGTGGAGTGGTTGAAAAATGAGTTTTAATGACTCCAACCAAAGTGAATGTAAACTTCCGACTTCAACTGTGTGTGTGTGTGTGTATATATGTTAATTATACACACACACAACCGTTCAAAAGTTTGGGGTCACTTAGAAATGTCCTTGTTTTCCATGAAAACATGCATGAAATGAGTTTGAATAGGAAATATAGCAGAATGTATAGGAAATGTAGTCATTGACAAGGTTAGAAATAATGATTCTTAATATAAATAATAATTGTGTCCTTCAAACTTTGCTTTTGACAAAGAATCCTCCATTTGCAGCAATTACAGCCTTGCAGACCTTTGGCATTCTAGTTGTCAATTTGTTGAGGTAATCTGAAGAGATTTCACCCCATGCTTCCTGAAGCACCTCCCATAAATTGGATTGGCTTGATGGGCACTTCTTACGTACCATACAGTCAAGCTGCTCCCATAACAGCTCAATAGGGTTGAGATCCGGTGACTGTGCTAGCCACTCCATTATAGACAGAATACCTGCTGACTGCTTCTTCCCTAAATAGTTCTTGCAGAGTTTGGAGCTGTGCTTTGGGTCGTCGTCCTGTTGTAGGAGGAAATTGGCTCCAATCAAGCGCCGTCCACAGGGTATGGCATGGCGTTGCAAAATGGCGTGATAGCCTTCCTTCTTCAAGATCCCTTTTACCCTGTACAAATCTCCCACTTTACCACCACTAAAGCACCCCCAGACGATCACATTGCCTCCACCATGCTTGACAGATGGCATCAAGCACTCCTCCAGCATCTTTTTATTTGGTCTGCACGATATATTGTTTCAGCATCGACATTGCGATGTATGCGTCCGCAATAGTCACATCGCAGAACGTGCGATTTAGTAAGGTAAACATATATCAGTCTACAATATATATTTTTTAAATGTTAAACTAGCATTATATCTGTCTGATTTAATGTAATTTACTCCGATTTATGGGTTATTGGATACACAGTTTATTATTATTATTTTAAACACGGAGTTCGTTGCTGCACGTGGTTGCCATGCAGGCTCTGCTTGCGCGTGATGAAATGATGAGCGAGGAACAGGCAAAAAAGACCGATATTGAGAATTTGGTTGCAAAAAGAAATGTGTAGTATCTGAGGAATTATGACTTTGCTAAGGTTTTCAAATGGAACCTGAGAGGAGGTTTATTCAGCTTAGAGGGAGCATCTGGGGAGCAGTTTTAGAGGGGCACCCTAAAGCAGAGGAAGTGTGTTAGGTGTCCTCCTGGGATTGGTCTGTAGGGGAACACCCATATCAGATTACATAGAATATATACCACAGTTGGGACAAAGGAAGACAGAATAATCAGATTTGAGATGGGGCGATTATTCTCCAGGTATCTGCAGGTATCTGTAAATCGACGCTGTAACCCTTTGTTATGAATAAACCTTTATGATGAAAATACAGCGTCAGCGGTTCTCCTTGGTCACACAGCATAATTAGCAACGTTTACTCGACACAACAAATGCATTGTCAATTATATGGAAATATTTCAGCTACAGACAGGATGATGTTGACCAAAAACAGGTACTTTGTCGAGAGTGCCTTGCAATTGTTGCCACAACACGAGGCAACACGACCAATTTGTTCGATCATTTAAGGCGGCACCACAAATCTTCGTATGACGAGTGCAAAGCATCTCAATGCCCTCCAAAGCAAAAATCTATTTCAGATGCCTTTGCCAGTATTACACCATACGAGAAGGGTTCCAAACGGCAGAGAGAAATCACAGATTCAATAACATTTCACGTCGCTAAAGACATGGTACCAATTAACACGGTTACCAAAGAGGGTTTTAAAAACATGATCCGGTCGCTTGACAAGCGGTATGTAATGCCATCACGCAACTATTTTTCTCAAGTTGCCATCCCAGAGTTGTACGAGAAATGCAAGGCACAAGTTGAAACAGAGCTGTCACAAGTGGAATATTATACAGCAACAACGGACTTGTGGTCCAGCCGGACAACGGAGCCCTACATAAGTCTGACCGTACACTTTATTAATGAGGACTTCCACCTGAAAAGTCGCTGTTTGCAAACTGCATTTTCCCCAGAGGATCATACATACATCCTGTATTTTTTCATATAGCAATATATAATCGCAGAAAAACAAAATATCGCAATGTCAGTTATTTCCAATATCGTGCAACCCTAGTCTGCGTCTCACAGATGTTCTTTGTGATCCGAACACCTCAATCTTCGATTCGTCTGTCCATAACACTTTTTTCCAATATTCGTCTTTTGTTTTAATTGGCCAGCCTGAGATATGGCTTTTTCTTTGCAACTCTGCCTAGAAGGTCAGCATCCCGGAGTCGCCTCTTCACTGTTGACGTTGAGACTGGTGTTTTGCGGGTACTATTTAACGAAGCTGCCATTTGAGGACCTGTGAAGCGTCTGCTTCTCAAAGTAGACACTAATGTATTTGTCCTCTTGCTCAGTTGTGCACCGGGGCCTCCCACTCCTCTTTTCTATTCTGATTATTGTGTGTGTGTATGTATGTATGTATGTATGTGTGTGTATATATTGCAGGTTTTCCTACTTACAAAGCATGTAGAGGTCTGTCATTTTTATCATAGGTACACTTCAACTGTGAGAGACGGAATCTAAAACAAAAATCCAGAAAATCACATTGTATGATTTTTAAGTAATTAATTTGCATTTTATTGCATGTCATAAGTATTTGATACATCAGAAAAGCAGAACTTAATATTTGGTACAGAAACCTTTGTTTGCAATTACAGAGATCATACGTTTCCTGTAGGTCTTGACCAGGTTTGCACACACTGCAGCAGGGATTTTGGCCCACTCCTCCATACAGACCTTCTCCAGATCCTTCAGGTTTCGGGGCTGTCGCTGGGCAATACGGACTTTCAGCTCCCTCCAAATATGTTCTATTGGGTTCAGGTCTGGAGACTGGCTAGGCCACTCCAGGACCTTGAGATGCTTCTTACTCCTTAGTTGCCCTGGCTGTGTGTTTCGGGTCGTTGTCATGCTGGAAGACCCAGCCATGACCCATCTTCAATGCTCTTACTGAGGGAAGGAGGTTGTTGGCCAAGATCTCGCGATACATGGCTCCATCCATCCTCCCCTCAATACGGTGCAGTCGTCCTGTCCCCTTTGCAGAAAAGCATCCCCAAATAATGATGTTTCCACCTCCATGCTTCACGGTTGGGATGTTGTTCTTGGGGTTGTACTCATCCTTCTTCTTCCTCC